TGTCAGGCTTAACTTTCAGCAGTGGATTATCTAATAACAAAAGCAGAAACAGCAAAAGACAGAGTAAATAAGTGGGACCTCATAAAAGTTAAAAACTTGCTCATCAAAATACTTCACCAGAAAGTGAAAAGACAGGCTACGGGCTGGGAGAATATCTTTGGAAACTATATATCTGACAAGAATCTAAAAAGTAAAATATATATAAAACTTCAAAACTTTAAAAATGAAAAGATGAATAACTCCAACAATAAAATGGTCAAAGGACTTGAATAGATATTTTACCAAAGAGGATGTTCAAATGGCCGACAAACACATGAAAAGATGTTCGGCATCATTAGCCATCAGAGAGATGCAAATCCAAACCACAATGAGATACCATTTGACTCCCACTAGGATGACTAAGATAATAATAATAAATGTTGGCAAGGATGTGGGGAAATTGGAACCCTTAACCATTGCTGGTGAGAATACAAAATGGTACAGCTGTTGTAGATAACAGGGTGGAGGTTTCCCAAAACACTAAAAACAGAACTACCATGTGCCCCAGCAATTCTACTTTTATGTATATACTCAAAAGTCTTGAAAGCAGAGACTCAGGAAACTTATACACCTTGTTCATTGCAGCACTATTCACAATAGCCAAAAGGTAGAAACAACCTGTATGCCCATCAACAGATGAATAGGTAAACAAAATGTGGTATATACATACTATGGAATACTCTCATCTAGTAGGAGAAGTGACATCTTGATACATGTTAATTGTGGATGGAGCAGGAAAACATTATGGTGAGTGAAATATGTCAATAATAAAAGGAAAAATATTGTATGACCTCACATATAAAAAGAAAAGGCAAATGTATAGAGAACAAAGTTTATTAGTGGTTATTAGGAGTGGGAGGAAGGAGGAAAGGGGGATTAATGGTAATAGAAATATCACATTGAGTAAGGGTAGGGTTGCACAGCCAGTTATTGTAATTACTGTCAGTAAGTTGTACACCTGTAAAAAGTTGACTTGGCAAAAGGTGTGTGATTTGTGTAATACGTTTGCCACAAGACCCCCCCCCCCCAAAAAAAAAAAAAGTGCTGAAGGTTCTGTGTACAACCAAAAACCTCATGGGATTTGGTTTCCTGGATTGGAGGTTTAGGGTCATTGTTTCATGGGATATCCCAGTTAACTGATTTAATAACGTGTTTAGTGCCTCTGTTCTACCTCCTAGTTTGATGTGTACTGCCTGGGGTCTTAAAATCTTGCAAGCGACCATCCTAGAAATAACAATTAGTTTCTTGTTTACCTGGAAAAACTGAGGAAGAAAGAGAGTCAGAAATAGGAGGAGGATATAGTATATATAGCTAGTAATTGCCTCCATGAATAACTGCCTCCTTTGCTATGAGACCAGATGAACTGGATTATGCCCGGCTACCATTACTGAATGTTTTGATCAAAGATTGTATAGCAGAATCCTGAACAAAAGGAGGAAAATGCTGAAGAGAAGCAAAAATTCTCATGAATTCAGACTATCTGAAGCCATGAAAGTTGGATGAACCCCTGAGACTATTAGTCTGAGATAATCTTTAAATCTTAAACCAAAAATAGTCTCTGAAGTCGTTTCAAAACAAAACAATAGTTTAGCTGTCGGCCTTGAGCATTATGCTCTTTTAAGAACTATCTACTGTATTTTTCCACAAATAATGCGCACATTATATTTTTTACCAACCGTGCAACCCCCCATGCAGTGTTTTCAAAGTCACGCTATGTGCGTTACACGTATGGGTGCATTACTTTTGAAAAAAAAACAGTATATGGGATCAGATTGACAAGAGCAACTTGAAAGATTAGGTAGGGAGCTGTGAATTTATGTTAATGAGGAACAACTCAGAAAATGAGGGTGAGAATGGTTACACAGCTCTAAGAATGTAGTCAATGTCATTAAATGGTACAGGCAGAAATTGTTGAATTGGTGTTATGTTTTGCTGTGTATATTCTCAACAACAACAAAATAAAACTTTTAAGAATTGAGACTCTTGATTTCACTTTATTGCATGTCCAGTTTGCCTTCGTCTTAATTGAGTCCAGGCTTCTGTGCGTTTTGCATATTGAAGGCTGAAGATGGAATATAGCCAGTTCTTTTTGGGTTGTTAGCATAACAAAATGTTGAAGCCAAAATTTTTGCTGGCAAAGCAGGTTGTGATAAATACTTTAACTTAGTGTAATTATGAAGAGCTATTCAGTCAGTAATTTATTTTTGTATCTCACTCTTTGTGTCCGTTTACCAGTTTTGATAAAATGAGCTCCTTCTGACAGGGATTTATTTTGTTAATACTACTATCTTCCCATAAGGTCATATAGAAAATAGTCACTCCATATTTTTAAATGTCTTGGTTTGTCTTCATGATATTTACAGTGAAATAATAAGTTAGAGAGTGAATGGATGACTGTTAAGGAATTAGAAATATTGGGGAGAATTCATGGTAGAAATAAAATTTTATGTAGTTAATTAAAAATACCATGGTCAAGCATAAAACTGTGTAATATTTTGTAAATTGTGATGTCGTCACTTGATGTGAGTTCTCTTAACATAGAATTGATCCAGCTCTTAAAAATGCCATCTTTTCATTAAAGATAAATGGGACGTAGGTACCTTACACATCAGTTCCCCTGACAACCATGCACAGAAGGTGAACTACTGCAGTTCTTGCAAGGTACGCTCTTACCAAGATATAGTCACTGTCCTTGTTTAATCTGAGGAGAATTTAAGAATCAGTATCCAAAGGACATGTAAAATAGTATGCTGTGGAAAATGAAGTGTTCTCTTTTGATTGGTGTTCTTTTATCTTGTAGTAATGGTAATTCTTAAATTCCGCCCCAGTGTTGCTTTCATCTGTCTGTCTTATTTATCATCTGTCTGTTCATCCATCTCTCTATCATATATCTGTCATTGTGCATGAGAGAGAAGAGCATAACAATGGAGAACCATAGAGAGTTACCTCCTTTGTCACCAAGTACCATGGTGACAGTAGTCTAGAAGTAGTGTGCGGAAGGAGAAAGCAAGAAGAGAACCGGAAGGCTGAGGAATGCTAACATTCAGACCAGAAGTAACTATGACCTGTTATGCTTGAATCTGAAAAATGAAAATAGAACTGCTTCTAGCTTATTTCACCTTGACATGAAAAAACTTAAAGTAAACATGATGACTCTGCTTATTCAGGCCTCTTGTACTTTCCACATTTTAAAGCTAAGTTTTAAATATATGGAATTATTACCCCAGCCTACACTAGAACATGAACTTGCAAACTTTTTTTTTGTAAAGGACTAAATCAAACGTTTTCAGTTTTGTAGGCCATATGGTCGCTTTTGCAGCCGTTGTAGTGCAAAACCTTCATAGACAATGCAGAAATAAATGAGCATGGCTGTGTTCGAGTAAAACTTTACAGAAACAAGCTGTGGTCTGGAATGTACCAGTTCTTCAACTACAGCACTTGGCTAAAAAAGAACATAGCAAGATTCACTCAGCCACTTGATAAAATTTGTAGGGATTATTTCCGTTTTATTTTTATTAATATTTTTTAGCTCCTTTGCTAAATCTCATTCATAAGAGTGATATAAATGATTATCACATGCCATTAAATTATTTTTTAATTAGACGTATTCCTCCTAAGTCCCATCGACAGAGCCCCAAGGACTTAGTGTCCAAAGTCTTGCCTGCCTTCGTTTTCCACTCATAACGGCTCTGGTTACAATGTTGTCTCTTACCTGCCTGCCATACTGGTGTCCATCCTCCTTGCCAGTGACTTCAGCCTATTTTCACATCCTCTGAACAATTGTAATTGCTTGCAGAACATGATTTATTACCTGCCCAAGGCTATTATTAATCCTAGTTTGCAAAAACTTGGAGTCAACAATATGTGTATCCAGTGGATACAGTTTGTACTCCAATTGTGATTTTCAAATTTGTTCTTGTTTGTCCATTTTATTTGAACTGGAGGACGTAAAGGAGAGGAAAGAAAACAGACGATAGAGAAAACCCTTTGTTTCAGTTTTGTTTTCATGAAAATGAAGAAGTGACTCAGTTATTCTATTGTGTGTCAAAGAGTTAACCTGATTAATTATTAAGTCTTAGTTTAGCCACTTCTCTATGTCACTATCTGTTTTTTTGAAATATAAAGCCTACCAACTTTAAATTTGAACTATTTCTTATTTTGCAGCCAACTGTAAATATATATGACAAATTTAGGGAAATATTTTATGAAAGACTCATTCAAATCAATCAGAAAATGATAAGCATCCTATTAGAAAAATGGGAACTCACATAAATGAGTAATTCATAAAAGAAAAGCAGTGCAAGTGGCCAAGAGCATATAAAAACCATATTCTTTATGCAGATGAAATAAACAGTTATTTGTCTTTTTTCACCTATCAGATTAACAGTTACATGTGTTACTCAAAATGTGGGAAATTTGGAACTCCCAGTTTGTTAACAGTCTTTCCAGAAGACAGCGGAAAATATGGATCAGGTGTGAAATTAGCACATTTTTTGACTCATAATTTTCATTCTTAGGAATTTATAGCATGTTAATAGAATGTGTTCAAGATGTATATAAATTTGAGTGTGCTCATTGCACCTTTATACTTGTAAAATTTTAAATAACCTATAGGTTATTTAATAATAAGGCTAGAGAAATTAATGACACATTTATCTAATTGGATTGTATTCAGTTATTAGTGTGATAAAGTGTGTTCATATTAATTAATGTGAAAATTGAGATTTTAGAAGTTAATTTATTCAACAATTATCGACTTTGAGACCATTAATGTATTATTTCATTCATGTAAAATAATATATGTATGTGTTTTTTTGGATATGGTAAATAAACCAATATAGGAGGAATATTCACAAAATGTTCATTATTTTATTTGTCTTTATTTTACTATTTCTTTTGTATGCATGTGGATCTGTCATATATGTGTCTATATATATATATATATATATTTCAATTATACATAGCTTTATTGAGTTCTTTGTATATGTACCACATGCTGAGATAAATGCTATACATGGATTATGTCATTTAATGCTCACAATGACCACGTGGAATAGGGTATTTATTCAATTTGTAAAGAATATTGAGGCTTAGTTTGATTGTAATTATGTAATTCATCTTATTATTCACAGCTTAAAAACAAAACAGATCTATGGTGTCATAGCCAAATAATTAGAAATACTTACATTTTTCTAAATCCATTGAGCAAAACCATGTTTATGTAATTCATCTTATTATTCACAGCTTAAAAACAAAACAGATCTATGGTGTCATAGCCAAATAATTAGAAATACTTACATTTTTCTGAATCCATTGAGCAAAACCATGTTTTGGGAAAATCATATTAATGTCACCCCATGTCTTTAAGGTCAGATATTTGAGGATTATTAACTGTAGTCCCTCAGAATCAAAAATACAAGTATTGGGATATTTCAAGAACAGGGGAAAGATAGATGAGCAGGACATTGGTTTGTGGAAAGTTCAATGGTTTAACCTTTCTTCAAGGCGTGACCTCTAGAAACACAGAGTATTGGGTGGTCAGGAGATGGGACTCTGTGTTCCTTGGCAGAAACCATTTTATAGGAAAAGAACACTGGGAAGCAATGAAAACACTGGTCAGAATCCAAAGAGAAATGGCCAGGAAGGGATCTTGAATTAATGGAAGAACCACTAAATCAGAGAAGCCAACGTTGGGATAGACAAAATACCAGTTCTATAGACGGCAGAGGTAAGACCAATGGGAGTCTCTGAGTGAAGACACAGTTATCCACTTATATAAACTTAAATTCCATAACCTTCGATTTGAGTATTTTTCCAGTTGTAATTTAAGACCATTTGGTTTAGATTCAAAACAATTTACCCCTTTGAATATGCGTTCCATAATCAGTTCACTTTACCCCAGTTATCTGAATTTATTCTAACGCTTTTCTAAAGGCAACACTTTGTGTCTTGCAAGTGCAGATTAGTTAGAAATGTTGAGCTAGTAATAGAGATGTAGGCCAAAATGATTATAAGCATGGGGAGTCGTGACACAAATTTTGCTTTACTATACCACAGCAATGGCTGAAGTATGTTCAGAAATTTGACTGGCTTGCAATGTCAGGAATGTGGTATGTTATTCTTAACTTTACCATTTTATCTTCTGGTGTTTGGGGGAAAATGAATTACATGAGATGCATGTAGTTGGGTCTCTGGAACGATGAGAATACTGAAGGAAGAAGAGGACTGAAGACGAAAGCTGTCAGAGTTGCAGGACTGCATCTGCAACAGTATTTCTGGATACCAAGTAGTGAGGTGCTTCTGATTTTGATTTTGATAGCATTTGGGACTGTTCAGACACTGTAAATCTCTTGAAAGGTGAGAAAACTGATGAATGGTGGTTAAGATTTTTATGATGGTGTTAAATTAATACATCTGTGAATGAATGAATGAACAGGGTGGAAGGAACAGTCTTTGATGCAGTAGAAAGCCAAGTAATAAGAATAAAAGGAATGATAGGGTATAAAAAAAATCAACATTTAACAATAATCATAACTTTCAGGCAGTAATTATCAAATAATGCTAAAAGTTGTTAGACAAAATTTAGGAGAAACAGGATACTTACACAGCCTGTATTTATCCACTCCACAAGATAAATAGTAAGTTCATAGTAGAAAGGATTACTATTTTCAGATTAAAGAAGTCAGGAATTAAACAAATGAAGAATTGAAATGACAAAGGTGACAAATGATCAAGCAACTGTGATTTGTGTTACAAGGTAGTGCTGGAATGCCTGTATGATTGTTGTGCTTTGCTTTTAATTAATTATGCATATGTTCTGATCTTTTTTCTTTGTGATACTTTCTGCAGGACAAAGGCTAGAACATTGTCCCAAACAGAGGTGAGCAGCTGCTTTTGAAATTGTTATATGTGTTGTCACCAGTGATATCATGACTTCTTGGTCTGTGAGTTCATGCTTTCTGAACAGAGAATGTTTTTATAATAGATTTTCTTCCTGAGTGTACTGACTGTGGTTCAGGGAATCCCTATTATTACTTCTTTCCTTGTTTTAACATCTGTTTTGAAGTAAGCCAATTTCTTTCAATTACTGATACATTTTCTCTTTCACTAGTTTATTTTGGATGAAAATAATCTTTTAGCAAAATTTAAGTGTGCTAAAATAGTGATTTTTTTTAAAAGTCTTTTTAATTACTGGCACATTTGGAATATAGATCTTTCTACTCATATTTCTACTGTGATCATTATTTCTGCTGCCTTATTTACAGCTTGAAATTATAGTTGATTGAATTTTTTTTGTTTTTTCCCAATATATTTTATCTAATTTATTAGAACAATCAAGTTACCTATCTTTCATGAGACATATACGAGAGCCCCATTTTTGGATACTAAGCAAAACATCTACAGTTCGTTGCAATAGACAAGCTTGCATAAAATAAGCCTGGCTGTAGAAATGCTTATTTGTCAAGAGGTGTTTGTCTGGATCAATGATGAGCATAATTGTCTGAGGATGCTGAGGGACTCATTCCAGATGTCAATCTGAGGTCCAGATGAGTAGCCTTTAATAGGACAAATAAGACTCTCAGAGCCTGGCTCTATTTGGAGAACCCTTAGTGAAGGCATACTATCATTGCAAGATGTCTTTCCTTTTTCCAGAACAGGGCAGTGACATCCTGTCTCATGAGGCAGGATGTACCTTCAGATATGCTCAGTGATGGGAGAATTGCTCTGTTCTGCTCATTTTGAGCAGAGTTGTAGATAGGTAGTTTTATATAGGAAATACATTACTGAGTAAAGAATGAGGGAATAAGAAATATTAAATTAAGAAGGAATCACACAACTATAATGTAATGTATGAAAGTCTCATTAGGGTTTCGCTAAAATAAGGGAAAACTTGCCTATGTCAAATAATGATAATGGAAATAATTTCAGTGCTTTGTCATTTTACTGTTGATTGTTTTCTGAGACTATTTCTTTGTTTTTCTTTCTGTCCTGTTTTGCTGAGGTAGAAGGACTGGAATGAAGTCCTCCAGAGAATAAGGTGAGTAGCTTTGAAATCAGTGCACCATGTATTCTGTGTGAGGTCCAGAGGGCTCTGTGCATCTTTTCAGAGGCTTATAGGAGAATATTTTCACAATATCTGTTTTTCTCTGGGGAGTGTCTCCCCCTGCACTTGTGCATCATTACCTTTATTTCCCTTTATTTTATCTAATTTTTGCGTGGAAAGTACATTTGAATTTTGGAGAAGTTATTTTTGTTTATTTTTTAACAGTTTTATATTGCAATGAAATATCCTTTTGTGAAATTCAACTTAATGATAATTTTCTTAAATTGTTGCAAGGCCAAATGGGAGACAGATGTGGCAATCTTCTTCTGTAAAGATTTACAGCCTTAGAAACCCTATGGGGCAGTTCTACTCTCTCCTACAGGGTTGCCGTTTGTCGGAATCGACTCAACAGCAGTGGATTTGGTTTTGGTGTATGAGACATACTCCTGCTTCTTTGTATTCCTCATAAATTTTTCTTGAAAACTGGACTTTTTGAATATTATATTGTGGCAACTGTGGAAACCAGATTACCCCCCTCACCAGGATTTATTATTGCTGCTTGTTGTAGTCGGTTTTGTTTTTTTTTTTTAATCTGAACTAATTTTGTAAAGTCTGAATTGTTTATTGTGTGTTGCCACTGAAGTGTCTGTTCCATTACATTCGTGGTCCGCTAATGAGATTGGATAGAGATTTCCTCAAATTACTAGAACCAAAAAAATCCCCCAGGTTTTGTAGAGGAGCTCTGTGTGCCTACTGGGGCATGATCCTCAACCACGCAGTTTACAACTCTTGTTAGCCTTCACATCTTGCTCCCCTACAGCTTCAAAGTCAACCAGAAGAGAGAGCTAAGGGCTTTCTTAAGTCTTCTCTGAGCATACACAGAGTTCTGTACCTGAGTGTGGGCTTCTTTATTCCCAGGAACATGTTGAATTATTTCAAAGTTCTTATTTCCCAAACCATCTCATTCTCCAGCCTTCTCTCCAAAGCTTTATGGTAGGTTTATTGTTTGCCCCAACTATTTTCCATTGCCTCAGGAAGCAATGGTTAATTAAATCTTTAGCCCGAAAATATTTTCTGCAAATGCCCCCTGCCTAATTGCGTTAACACTGGACAAGTCCAAGTTAAATTAGAAAAAAGCAAGCCTGTGTTGAGGCAGTCGTCAAGAGAACCACCAAACAGATAAAAACAAATAATTACATTTCTTTGTGAATGAGGTCTGTAGTGCATTCTCCATACAAGTGCCAGGAATGTGGGCTGTTACTTTCAAGACTACCAGTGAGCCAAGGGAGCAGGGGATGGGATCAGATTAAGTTAAAACACCAAAAAATTTGTTGTTACTAAGATTGTACTTCTTTTTCTTGCATAAAGGCATCCAGTCGTTGCTACAAATTTTTGGTTAGTTTCGAGTTCCAAAAAAGTCGATTCTGACATTTTTGCCAGGTTTTTTCCTTTCTTTTTCTTATAGCTTTATTGATGGGACAGGTTTTTGCTGTTTCTTACTCTTATTTTTGTTGAACTCTTTGCTCATTGTGATTTTTATTTGTATTTCCCTAATGACTAATGTTTTTAAACATCTTTTCATGTGTTTCTTTGTCATGTCTTTGTTTTCTTTGGAGAAATGACAACTCAAATTTTTCCCAATTTTTGAATTTGGTTCTTTGTCTTCTTATTCTTGAGCTTTAACAGTTTTTTACATACTCTTACTCTTTTTTTTTTTTTTTAACTTTTTTTCAATTGTACTTTAGCTGAAGGTTTACAGAACAAATATTTTCTCATTAAACTGTCATTACACATATAGTTTTATGACATTGGTTAACAACCCCATGACATGTTAACATGCTCCCTTCTCGGCCTTGGGGAACCATTTTTTTTTTTTTTTTAATGAAAATATACCTAACCAAAGACAAACAATTTCAAAAATTTCTACGTGTACAATTCAGTGACGTCAGTTACGTTCTTCTAGTTGAGCTGCTCTTCTTACTTTAGATGAAGGTTTACAGAACAAAATAGTTTCTCGTTAAACAGTTAGTACACATATTGCCCTATGACAATGGGTAAGAACCCCACTACATGTCAACACTGTCCGTACTCAACTTTGGGTTCCCTATCACCACCTTTCCTGTCCGCTTCTGCTTTCTAGTCCTTGTCCCTGGACTGCTGTGCCTCATTAGTCCCGTTTTGTCTTATGGGGCTGTCCAATCCCAAGCTGAACATTGAACATCGGGAGTGAATTCACCACTGAGCTAAAACGGTATCCGGGGGCCGTACTCTCAGGGTTTCTCCAGTCTCAGGCCAGTAATCTGGACTTTTTTGTGTGTGTTAGAATTTTGTTCTACATCCTTCTCCAGCTCTGTCCAGAACCCTCTGTTGTGTTCATGGTCAGAGCAGTCAGTAGTGGTAGCTGGGCACCATCTAGCTGTACTGGCTCAGTCTGGTGGAGGCCTGGGTAGCTGTAGTCCGTTAGTCCTTTGGACTAATCTTTTCCTTGTATCCTGTTCTCTTCATTCTCCCTTTCTCCTGAAGGGGTGAGGCCAGTGGAGTATCTTAGATGGCTGCTAACAGGCTTTTAAGACCCCAGACGCTACTCAACAAGGTAGAATGTAGAACATTGTCTTTATAAACTGTGTTATGCCAATTGAGCTAGATGTTCCTGAAACCATGGTCCTGACAGTCCTCCGCCCAGCAATTCAGTGCCTCAGGTAGTTTGTAAGTGTCTTTGGAGCCTCCATGACCTTTCGTTGTACAAGTTGTGCTGGCTTCCCCAGTATTGTGTACTTTCTTACCCTTCACCAAAGTTACCACTTATCTATTGTCTATTTAGTATTTCCCCCCCACCCCTCCCATCCCTCGTAACCAAAAAAGATTGTTACTTATTGTGTGTAAACTTTTTCATGAGTTTTTACATTAGAGGTCTCATACAATATTTGTCCTTTTGTGATTGACTTACTTCACTCAGTATAATGCCCTCCAGTTTCATCCATGTTATGAGATACTTCACAGATTCATCATTGTTCTTTATCATTGCATAATACTCCATTGTGTGTATGTACCATAGTTTGTTTATACATTCATCTGTTGATGAGCATTTAGGTTGTTCCATCTTTTTGCTATTGTGAACAATGCTGCCATGAACATGGGTGTGCATATGTCTATTCGTGTGATGGCTCTTACTTATCCAGGATATATTCCTAAGAGTGGGATTGTTGGATCTTATGGTATTTCTATTTCTAGCTTTCTGAGGAAGCGCCATACCATTTTCCAAAATGGTTGTAGCATTATGCATTTCCACCAGCAGGGCATAAGAGTTCCGATCTCCCCGCAGCCTCTCCAACATTTGTTCTTTCCAGTGTTTTTGATTCCTACCAGTAATGCCGGGGTGAGATGGTATCTCATTGTGGTTTTAATTTGTATTTCTTTAATGGCTAGTGAATGCGAGCGTTTCCTAATATGTCTGTTGGTTGCTTGAATGTCTTCTTTTGTGAAGTGTCTGTTCATTTCCTTTGCCCATTTTTTAATAGGATTCTTTGTCTTTTTCTTGTAGAGCTGTTGGATTTTCTTATAGATTATGGAGATTAGACCTTTGTCTGACTTGTACCATCCAAACATTTTTTCCCAGTCTGTAGGTTCTGTTTTTACTCTTTTGGTGAAGTCTTTTGAAGAGCATAGGTGTTTGATTTTTAGAAGATCCCAGTTATCTAGCTTATTTTCTGGAGTTTGTGTGTTGATAGTTTGGTTTGTATCCTGTTGATGTCATGTATTAGGGCCTGTAGCGTTGGTCCTATTTTTTCTTCTATGAACTGTATAGTTTTTGGCTTTATATTTAGGTCTTTGATCCATTTTGAATTAGTTTTTGTATACGGCGTGAGGTATGGGTCCTCTTTCAGTTTTTTGCAGATGGATATCCGGTTTTGGCGGCACCGTTTGTTAAAAAGATTGTCTTTTGCACATTTGATGGACTTTGGGCCCTTGTCGAAGATCAGGTGACCGTATGTGGATGGATTTACATCTGGGTTCTCAGTTGTGTTCCACTGGTCAGTGTGTCTGTTGTTGTACCAGTAGCAGGCTGTTTTGACTACTGTAGTTGTATAGTAGGTTCTGAGGTCAGGTAGTGTGAGTTCTCCTACTTTATTTTTCTTTTTCAGTAGTACTTATTTGGGGCTTCTTTCCTTTCATATAAAGATAATGATTAGTTTTTGCATCTCTTT